TTTAACATCTTATTACGTATATTGTAAACTTACAAAAAAAGTAACAGATTTTCTTATACTTGTTTAATGTACAAGTGTACAGGAAATAATATTTAATTTTATTAACTGTACGTAAGTATATGGCCGCCACTGTATATATTATTCTATTCAGTATCACGTGAACTATATCTGCATTCAATTGAAATAAGTGTCTTCCAGACGAGCCATTTTACCAATGCCAGTAGAAATAGGTACAAATGACGATAGGTTTAGTGTTAACATACACGTACCTAGACTTGCCTGTATCAAAAATTGCAGCAGAAACGTTGCGAATACTTTAGTAATTTTAGAAAGAAGCCTGAGGTCTATGGCCAGTAAAATTAGTCTTCTTTGTTCCCTGCACAAGCCCTGCTGTCAATTGTTTAATATCAATATTGCTATAATTGTTGTAAGCGTTTATAACATATTAATAATTCGGGCCAGAGACTCGTTTGCAACGGTTTATCGATGAAACAAGCGTTTCTCCCGCGACTGAGCAAATACGTAGCGGCAATGAATCGAGATCCAATCGATGTAGCGAGGCAATCTTGTTCCTTTAAACGAAGGACAGATGATTAACGTCAATAGCAGGGGGTTTAATCAACGACACCGTGCAGAGTAAACGCAAGAAGATTCAGTGGCGACGGAGGGAAGTTTTCGAAGCGATTGGAGGCAATATCCGGTCGTCGGGGACCCGAGTGATTCGACGTGGAAACAGATGTCGATCATGGGTCATCTTCCTCTTAAATACCGGTCTCGGGGCAATCGTTTTAATCCCCCGCGCGAGCGACTTGTAATCTCGTTGCTGTTCGGCTTCCGAGGATGATACACAAACAAAAAGCAACCGGATCGTTAACCTAATATTAACATCCATAAAGCGCGATCGCGTGCGCTCGAAACACGAATTCTTTTGGTCGGTTATCAAAAGTTTAATTGCTGTATGAAGCGGATGGTATGGTCTGCTCTCTGGTTTTTTAAAGATTCAAGCCTGTATATTACAAATGTTTAGGCAATTGGGAGTTTTAGGGGACTGTGAACCAAATTCTACGTACTCTAATACCATGTGCTTGAAGTTTAAATAAATTCCCAAACTTCGCATTAAAACTATTTAGATTACTTTGGTTCGTGTACTTCAAATTTCTTTTCAATATCACTCAATTATTAACGATGCTTTTATCGCAATTTTTCGTATAGATTATTTCAATAGAAAAAAAATTGGATTGACAAGTTAGCTTGATCCTCCTTGCGCAGTGCAGTAGACGATATATGTATACAACTGTTCCATTGTTTGGGATGAAAATTAACAGAAATATGCATGGTAATGAGAATACTGATGCACTTGAACTGTTGTTGGACTAGTCTTACTTTCAAAGGAAGAAAGACAAAAATTTGGAAAATCTTAGATCTCACTTTCTGGAGGGCCTCTCTTTCGTGAATATTTATCTCAAACTCGACGATAAGGTTTTCAAACTTAGCACGTTTGTTTATGAAGTATCCCACTGCCCCCTCGGAGTCTCGTCAACAAAGATGAGTTGTACTCGTGCATCGCAGCGATTTATAATCGCGCTGTTTGCTTGGACGTTCGGTGCGCAGCGAAGAGGAGAGAAAGGCCGCGAAACACGAAGGTTACAGAGCGAAAAGAAGGAGGAACACGACGAAAAAGACAACGAGGTCCTCCCGCGATGGAGCGCGATAGAAAGGGGTCGAGAGAAAGATGGACCGGTATAATTATGCAATTTAGATTCAGCTGTACGATTCCGGTTTGGCTTCATGAAAAGCGAGAGTGGGCGTACGGCTGTCTCCTCTTTGATAGGGGGGGAGGGATACATCTGTGTTCGCGTACAAAAAGGTTGGACGCCGAGATAACGCCGTGTTCGTTCAAAAGCGACATCTATGCATCTCATTCGAGTAGGTATTGCTCTGCTGGAGACCAGTAGCTGAGATTAACGTTAGATATACATATATAGATGGATAGATGAATGTAGATCGGTATTTTTTTTGAGAAATATTTTATCCAAAGAATAATAATAGGTGGACAAGAATTGAGGAGAAAAATTCCTATTTATTCAATCTATATCCTCCTATATGGAGACCAAAAAGTTGAAGCTTCGTTAATACCATGGCAGTTCCTGTCCAAGATAGAATCTTTCACGTGAGACGTAATAGTAGATGGACAAAAATTGCGGTGGAAAATTCGCATTCATTCAATCTAGCAAATAAAAATATTAATATTTCTGTATGGGGACCAGGAAGTTGGAGCTTCGTAAATATCATGGCAGTCCCTGTCCAAGATAGAATCTTTCACGCAAGAACGTGTATTCGATTTGTACGAAAAGAATGCGCTTCTATCAGAAAAGTTAAAGGAACAGAAGGAATGCGCCGAATTCCTGAACGGACATCGAAGACGCGGTTACGCGATGGAGTAAGAATTTTCGTTATGATTAACGGTACAACGGGAGCGAGCGTGACGACTACCGGATTCTTCCGAATCATACCGATCGTATCGTCGATCTTCGAGATCGTACGATCCAGCTCGCGGAGATCCCTCCTCGAACCGTCGATTATTCGGTCGGCAAAGAATCCGATACGTCTGTGTGAGCTCGGGAGTCGTTCCGAGAACGCCGATTAGAAAGATCGGCGTCCGATGTCGGTGTAAATTGCGCACCGTATCGTCGTAAAACGAGATTAAATTGCATTGTCCGGCCCGTTACTGTGCCAGCGATAATTACCACGCCGGCGTAAGGTTACCAGCTGGGTTGTGGGTTAAGCCCACCCGTAACCACCCAGTCCTGCAACACATTGCAATTTCGTTTACCGAATGACGAACAAAAATCTGGCTGAAACGGGAATAGAAAGGTCCATTAAAAATCATACGTACTTTATATCGAGTCGTGATATTGCATTTAAAATTTGTAATAACTAGACTGCGGATTTTATGCGTTTATGATATAAACTAATATGATAAACACATGAAGAACATAACCAAAAGGTATGTGCGCTTTTATAAAACGAAATAATGATATTGTTACAATAATTGTAGAATATATCCAACATATATTATGTATATTTTATGCATGTTTTCTATGTATTTGACGTCATGAATGCATAAAATTCGCAGTGTGTAGTACTTGGTAGAACTGGCAGAACTTGGCAGAACTTGGCACCCGACTTTTCAAAAATTAATTTTTTTTTTTATAGAAAACGATAGTATTTTATTTGTACCTGATTGTACCTATTGGAATATGGGTTTAATAAACGAGTCTTTTTATTTAATTTGAATTCTTCGTTTATTCAAACGGATCGGTAGGACACGATTACTGTTCAAGGATCGGACGAGAACTAAACTGAAAATTCAGGCCTACGAGAAACAGAAATCTAGCGTCCACTTAAAGAAAGAAAATTCTGCCTGCGCTCTGTTTATTACCCTGGTCGTCGACGACAAACAGTCAAGGGTCTTCAGACCTGGTGGTGCCAGTCCGATACTCTAAACTTACAAAGAAAAGGGCAGTGTCTCTCAACGCTAGATTCATTTTTGTTGAAGTCAAATTATATGTTTATAATTCAACAGTACATCCAATAGTTTCGTTTGTACCTCGACCAATTAATAATTAAAAAAAATTCAAAAAATGGTCAGCACCCGACATCGAGATTTTTGAAATCGGTTTTTCCCGATTCTTTAGAATCGTTTGTACACGTTTTTACCGCTTTTTGTTTCGTTTGTATCTCAATAGTTTAAATTTTACAAGCAATTGTTGTTGATCCGCGTAAGAGTGAAGTTCGTTAATTTTCAAGATATTTAAAATCTGTTTTTTCCCGATTCTTTAGACTCGTTTGTACCCGCAGGAATCGCTTTTCTTTTCGTTTGTACCGCAATAGTTTAATTTTTATAACTCTGCCATGGACGAATTCAGTCTCGAGTTTAGTGATTTATTGTTATTAACGTATTTTTTACGTTACGTCTGCAAGCTGGGACGGTCCTTTGACGCTGCGCGTAGCCTTCGCTACCACGGCCGCTCCAACGGCATACGCGCGCTCTGATTGGTCAGCGCTTTCAGTAAATATCTCCCGAACGAAGCCCCGGACAACATTTTCGCTAAGGAAAAAGTTGTTTCAAATCACCTCCCGAACCACCCCTTCCAATATGTTCCAACATTTTTGGGACATCCTGTATACTGTACATATGGCATTTAATTAAGAATATATTGGAATTGTTTCATTGCGAGGGAGTTTGTGTAATGACTGTGTGCAATGTCTGTTTGAAATAATTAAATAGTTATTTACAGACTATAGTTACGTAAATTTGTATAAAAGCTTGTAGAAAATTTTTTCACATCCTGACTTCTTTTACACTGCGATAAAAGACATAAAAATTGCACGATATTTTATAAAAATAATCCTAATATATAAAAAGGTAGTTTCCATAATAAATGTGATACAAACAGAAGAAAACGTAAAAAAGAATAAAAGTGACTCCTACCGAGATCGTACCGCGTTCAGAGCAAAAGATTGATTTCGCAACCCAACACTACCGAATGCGTCACGCTGCTTCTCTGATACCTTCGACACTTGTACGGTCGACACAAGTCAATTGAAATTTAGTTATTTGCAAAAATTTATTTCTTAAAAATTAAAGAGAGTCGTCCCTTCCTACTTTCAGAAATGCTTCTACATGCCCTTCTTTACATATGAAAAAAATTTTATTCAAAAATTCAGTGCACACCTGCAGATGTCCAAGTATTTAGACCATTTTTTGACGAATGTAAAATACAGATTTATTTGGTATTCGCAACAGAATATATTTTTTAAATATATAACAAATATCTATTCGATATGTAGAACAAAATATTTGTTCCCGTATATAAACCACAACGTTAAAAGAAGACACAGAATGCTCCTTAACATCGGAAACTATTTTATATTAGGGAAAAATATTCTGTTCTACATATAGAATAGGTTTATTTAATATTACAAAATTTATTTAATTTATTTATTTAATTTAATTTATTTAATATTACAAAAATATTTTTTTTTTCTAAATCTAGAATAAACATCATTCATTTTTAAATATTAAAATGAAATTCAATTGACTAATGCCTATCATCTATTAGGGATTCAACTAATGGGGATTAGTTTGAAGGAAATGAAATAAATTTGGAAAATTATATAAACTGTTTCTTTTTATTGGGCATGAGAGGTAACCCAAACCTTCTCTCCTGGGTTGTAAGTAGGTGCAGGGCGTCGTTTAGCATCTGCATTAAGTTTTCTCTGATCTTGTTCCTGTTCATGGGTTTCTCGTGCCTTGTCCAGTACTTCCGTCATTTGAAGTAATCTTAGTGTTACTTCCGGTATGAAGTTCTCGTTATTGATTATCTGACGTAAATCACTTGTATTTTCCGCTGGGGCTCTGAGTTCCCTGGCGACCATTAGATCCGCCGGGGTAAAGGCAGTACCTTGACATATTGTCGTGTTGATAGCAAAACGAATTGCTGGAAGTTTGGAGGGCCATTGCTTATGCTCTCTATATTTCCCAGCAATATAGAGAGTTGTGTCTTGAGTTTCCTATTCCTTCGTTCTACTGGGTTAGCACTTGGATGGTATACAGGTGTGAACTTGTGATCGATATTTAAACAATACGTGATCTGCTGTATCATACTGCTTATGAATTGTGTCCTATTATCGCTGATCAAGCGCCGTGGAACACCAAATCGGAGAAAAATTTCGTTGACTAAAGTCTACGCACAATTTTCTTTTGTCGCGTTGTCCAATGCGAATAACGCCGTCCATCTTGTAGCATAATCTTCCACAATGAAAACCCATTTTTCATTTTGAGGTCCTGGTGGGAGAGGTCCGAATAGGTCCATTGCAACTACTTCAAATCGTTGTTGCAATACTGGTGTCTGGAGTAATCCTGCTGGCTTCAAGTTTGTTAGCGGCGCGCGACGGGGGTAGTTCTCGTGGCGGGGGTGCAGCGCTTCACGCGGTAGCGTGATCGGGGCGCTACTCTGGCGACCTAACCCGGAACTACTTGAAGGGGGTTACAACCACATTTATGACCAATTGAGTAAAGTTGGAAAAAGTTAAGTAAACGTGTCTATATAAATATAAGAAAAAATACAAAAACAGAGTAAAATTGAATTTTAGTTCCTTTACTCAATTGCTCATAATTCCAGTATTTATCCATAGGCTTTCTTCATCAATACCTTGTTTACTTCGCAAAAGTACGAAGTATACGTAAACAGTAAAGCACTGGACATGATTTGAAAATTACAATTTTTGCATGACGATAGAGCAAATTTTCGATTCTTATTTTCGCCGAAAAGAATCCACGTTTCTCACATAATTTGCCCCATACCACTTAAACTACTGAACAAATTGGAAAACAATGTTAGAAGCGGTTGTTGGAGATTCCATTATCTTTAATATGATATTTTTCGCGACACAATCGGACGTTTCTAACTTGTAAGATATGGTCAAAAGTGTGGTTATCTTTAAAAAAAAGAAAAAAAAAAATCAAAAACCATATCTGGAAAACCTATCCATAAAAAATGACCCCGATGTGATTTTCCAGTTTCGCAGGTTAAATACATTAGAAGAATAAAATGGTATTGAATGTACAGAAATGTTTTTTTATTTCGGGTGAAACTGCACGGATTTTTCGCGAAATCTTAGATTTCCGAAATTATTACATAAATTCAAAGTATACCATAGTGCAAGGAACCAATTTGAATGTTTTCGCGATATTCCTATTTTTCACTTGTTTATTGCTATTTATATACTTGTGCATTATTTTCTTGGAAAAATCTTATTATTAAGCTCAATTTCAATAATGATTTTATATTGTAGGAAGTCGTTGCAAAGTCTTTGTAGTTTTAGTTACATATATGAGTAAATGCATTTTCAACGTTTTAACAATTTTTTGTAAACAATTCGTCAAACAATTGCGATTTTTAATACGTTCTCCATACGCGATTCGAACGAAATTTGACTCTATTAGTGCAGTAATAGGTCTACAGATATAGTCAAATTTAGTTCGAATCGCGAATAGAGAACGCATTAATAATCGCAAATGATTAACAAATTGTTTAAAAAAAAATTTTTAAACGTTGACAATGTATTTACTCATATATGTAACTAAAAATATAAAGACATTGCAATGACTCCTTATATTATAAACACAATACTACAATTGAGCTGAATACTATAATTTTTTCAACAAAATAATGCACGAATATATAAATAGCAGTAATCGAGTGAAAAATAGGAATATCGCGAAAACATTCAAATTGGTTCCTTGCTCTATGGTATACTTTGAATTTATGTAATAATTTCGGAAATCTAAGATTTTGCGAAAAATCCGTGACACACTTGACGCAATTCCACTCTTAATGTAAACCAGTCTTATTTCTGTCAATGAAATCTGTGTTACTTACTGCGGCGCAGGAGTTCCATATTTTTCACGACCATATTTTCAGCTTTTCTTTGTTGCTGTTGCGGCTGCTGCTGCTGTGTCTGGAATCGCCGTTGGAAGTCTATTTGCTGTGCTTGCAACTGCTGCAGAGCCAGCAGCACCTGCTCCTGTTGCCGCTGCTGTTGCTGCTGCTGTGCTCCTCCCTCTGCTGCATACATATTTGCATTTCCTCCATCTTTTTGTACATTTGTTCCTCTAAATTCAAGCACATATTTTCTTCTGAAAGAGAAAAAAGATATATAGGATATATATTACATGAATGTGTTTCAATTATGCAGTATATTTATTTTCCACTGAAGTTGGAATTATACTTATCATTGCTTTGGGCCATTTTCTGCTCGGTATTTACTGCTGTACTACTAATATATTATTCTTCGACGGTTTCACGATTATATCTGACTGACGACTGATTTGATGCCGCTTTATAATATCCATCCCCTCCTGAGTTTCCTACCAAAACTCCATCGAACCTTCGAGAATTTGGCACGTGCTTGCGGCACGTGTCCTCCTTCGGGTTATTGTCGCGCGGTTTCTTCTTTTCGCGTCCGACTCGCGGCTCCGCGTCCAGACACAAAGCCTGCTCGTCGATGATCACTCGGCATTCGCCGTCGAACGGGCGCGATCTGCACTTTGACGGTGTCGTTTGATATTTCTTCCCTAAATGCAAGCTATCGGAACTTTAGCACAAAAGGCCCCACGAGGGACTTTTTCGGCTTTACTCTCTTGACCGATATCCACACGCGAACAGTTCGCCGACTCGTCGCGGCAATTAGTAAACCCATCTAACAATAAGATTCGACAAGATCAAACGATGCGTTGCATTCGGGCGCTTATGATCTCGCAGACAGCCTTCCGGTCGCGTTACGAGTTGCCCCGTCTACGCCCGGTTCTTACCTCTCCCGAGTAGCATGGGCTCTCGGTGCTATGGTAAGGAGTCACCACTCCCGGTCAGTTGTTAGCTGCCGTTGTTTGTCCTAGTTTTCAAATCATTTAAAAAAATATGGGTTTTACCCGCACGTTAGGTGCTGTTTTCACCCTTTCAATAATTAATTAAATTTCATACAGGAACATTCGAAATGATAAACAATATATAAAGAATATTAAATCTCCGCCAGCCGTGCCTGAAAAACAAAATTAAATAAAAAAAAAAATAGAAAATATAATATAAAGTAATATAATACAAAAGTATTATACTTACGTTTTAATTACAACAGTGGTATTGTCATAATAGTTGCCGACAAGCTTCGAACGTAGAGGAGGACAGCGAATAAAGGAAGAGGACGGAGATAGAACATCTGGGTATGTCGGTGAGACAATGTAATGCAACGATGAAACTTTTTTATTATTAACTGTTTTGTTGTGAAACTTTTACCATCATATTCCTGAAATTTTTCTGATTAAAATGAGACCAAACATACTTTATAATTCGCAACATACTTACTTGTAACACCTTATTATGTATCATATATCGTAGAACACTTACTAAAAAAAAGATGAATGGTAAATATGTAAGACCAGAATAAGGAGCTTAGGATGGAATTCACTGGGCGCACGAAAGAAACAGTGGATATAGATGTGTAAGAAGTATATATTCAATAAGCTCTTGCCTCGATGCAAGTCGGTACAGTTCTGACCTTCGCCAGAAAATACAGTCGTGAGGACACCCCTGACGTCAGGCCCATCGTTTACAAAAGTCCTCTATCCCAAAACCTCCTTTAAGAAGGGGAACGCGCAGAGACTAAACACATGGCCCGTTTCGGGCGTTTGTCTAGCTCGAATATCCTAACATTATTTCGAATATTCTAACAAATATCGTTCGAATTATATCGTGTTTGGTCTCATGTTCATTAGAAAAATGTCAGGAATATGATGGTAAAAGTTTTACAATGAAAAAGTTGATAGTAAAAAGGTTTCATCGTTGCATTACATTGTCTCATCGACATTCCATGGTGTTTTCGCTCTGTCCTCTTCCTTTAATCGCTGTCCGTTTCTTTCTCTCCATTCTTTTGAAGCCTGTCGATAAACATCCGAAATTGGACGAAACTCGGCGATCGAATTCCATGACCCCCCAATAGTGTGGATTAGTTGCAGCCCAATTAGGGGACATATATGTGTGTTTCTGTGGAGACTTTACTATGGGTGTAATTGCTTCGACCAATAATACGTCACGGCAGCACGCTGTGTGAGGAAGAGTGGGACACGTCTAGTTAAACCCCAAGTTACAAATGTCGAACAGCAGTCACTTGGAATTTGCACCTCGTAACGCTCTCTTTGAATGAATATTTCAAATATTCCGTCGAAGAGTGAATACAAGGTTCTTGATAGAATTCCGACTTTCTTTTCATACCTTTTTAGTTTTTAGTTTTTAGTTTTTAGTTTTTAGTTTTTAGTTTTT